ACCTGCTTACAATTACACTTTGTTTCATCTCTAATAATTGCCTAATTGACTTTTTCGACCATATGAACACACAGCTATTCTGTCTATAAGAATCCCAAAATATACGCATTAATAAAGGTATCTTAAGTGGCCGAGACGTTCCTTAAACGACGGTCGGTGAATGCAATTTACGCTTATCTACTTGAGAATTCGAGTGGGCGTTGCGGAAAATAATCATTGAATGCCTCCTGTGTTTCCTCGCGATAAACTGTGGTCTGCTGCCTGTCGCGCAAAGATGAGGATCAATGAGATATTGATTGACCACGTTTGCATGGCATCGCTAATAGAGTGCATGAGATCTAAGGGTGATGGAGGCAAGATGGAGGCACTAAGGGAAAATTACGTTAGAACATTATACTTATTGGTAATATATCTATAAACAATTCTAGTTGTAGTATTTCTCGTTGGTCTGCTTAACACTAACCGTACCGGAAACCGGTGAAATGACCGGATTTAAAATTCTGCGTTTTCTTTTGTTCATTTAGTTTCATATCAATTCCTTTTGTTTCTGTTTCCACTAAAAAAAATTTATCATCTACTTTGTTTATCTCTATTTTGTAGCCAGTTATTTGGTTAGCCACGGTAGGAAAAGTGCCGGTATGGTTAGTGTTAAAGTTCAATTTTCCTACAGTTTATGAAAATGTCTCCATCTTGCTCTGAATGTATTAAAATTAGTTGAGTAATAGTAGTTTAATTTCTTAAAAATTTAAGTATCGAAAATTAGCTTATCTGTTAAAGAAGATTAAACAATGTTGCAAACTAACTAAAATATTGTTGTTACACAAACTTCAAGCAATTTTTTAGTTTTCATAGATACAGGAAGGTGGCAGTATTCCTATAAATATTAATCCCATCTTGCCTTCCTTCTTTATACTTAGCATGCATGGAACTATGCACTATTGTTACAATACATTAATAGTCACATATACTCATCTCAAACAGTTTTCTACTCTGATCTACAAATATACAAATGTGTTTATTGCAGAACCTAATCCTGGGCCGTGTCCTGATGGTTACTTAGGACCTCCCCATTGTAAAAAGGCATTGTGTTATCCAAATTGTATGAATGGTGGTAATTGTACAGCTCCTGGCATCTGTTCCTGTCCACCAGGATTTCAGGGACCATATTGTGAAGGAGGTATTCAAAAGCCAATATAGTATATATAAAACAAGATCCTTTTTTTTTATTTATTAAATTCTACATACGGATGAAAAATTATAAATAAACTACTATAATAGATTATACTACTTTAGATATTGATATGGCTGTCTTACAGCCGAACTTAATCACATTTGTTAATGCTTGGTAGAATGGTGCTTGTTCCGCTCCATGATTTATACCTGTGTCATGGTGTTCTTGTTCTTCATCTCTGAACTGTTTTATGGTATCTAACAATTCTTCATCCACTTTTTCACCACTATCCATTAAAGTACGTAATTGATCATTGTAATGTTCTGTGATCACTGTTTCTACGGCCACTGTGCAAGCCATAGCTGCTTTTTCTCCCATAAGTGCTGTACCAGCACCCAAAACAAAACCAGCAACATTCCAAACAGGTGTCAAAACGGTGGGTCTCACACGATATTTTCTAATTAAATCTTCAAATTTTTGTCGATGCCTTTTTTCTTGATCCCACATATGTTGGATAGTTGGACCAACTGGAGTCCTGCCTATCTTACATAAATTATTCAAAATTTATGCTTAAAGGAATGTGTTTATCCTCATAATCTTTATAGTTAATGTATACCTAAAACAGCCATCTGTCCAGCATATATTCTATCAGCTCCTAATTCTCCAGCATGATCTACTCTTATAATTGAATCTAACAGTTTGTTTGCCTTAGTTGCCCTTGAAGCTGCAGATGTGCTGATAAAACGAACTCCGAGCTGCCTTAAGTGTAGCATTTTTTTTCTATAAATTTTAAAGAGAAACTACTGATATAGTTAATTTGAAAAGAACTTTTTTGTTTAAAACTTTTAATTATTAATGTGTGCTTATTGTATCTTTACTAGAATATTACAAATTCTAGGTATCTGTGCAGAGAAATGTTTGAATGGTGGAAAATGTGTACAGAAGGACACCTGTGAATGTCCTAAAGGGTATTTTGGATTACATTGTGAATTCTGTAAGTAGCAAAAATCTATTGATAATGTTCCAGATTTAAATGTTGTTTAATAAGCAATTATATTCTTCCTTGTCTTTAGCAAAGTGCGTAATACCCTGTTTGAATGGAGGTAAATGTAAAGGTAACAATATCTGCAGATGTCCTGCAGGTTTCAAAGGTGACCATTGTGAAATTGGTAGAAGATCTCCGCAACGTTCTGCTTGCACAAGAGCTTGCAGGAATGGAACTTGTCAACCCGATAATACATGTTTGTGTGAACCTGGATGGTTTGGAAAATTGTGTAATAAGAATAAGCCATGGGCTTGAAAGTAGACACACTTTTCCATTGTGGTATTATGTTTATAACCAATTGGATCAACACAGTGAGATTTATTACTAGCCATTATAAATCTTTGAATATTATATAGACTGCATTTATATAAAACATAACATTCTTTGAACCTCGCATGTATTTTAACGAGTCTGCTACTCGAAGCAATGTATACCTAAAATACTACAACAAAGTATTATTTTAACAAAGAGAATTAATTCTCAAGAAATATTTCTAAATCCAATTGGTAAATACCACTTTAGCTAACGTGTATAGTTAGTAATTTACCCCACCCCAGATGTGATATGTAAAGCTGCTTTACAACATTTTATACTATTAAATATTATTTTTAATAATATACTTTTATATTGTTAGATTTATTATAATGATTGTAAAAAAAAAATAAAACGTATTTTCTCCCTTATGAATTTTGTTCTAATATTGTCATTTCACATCTTCGCATTTCGAGTTCCAATTTTCGATACGATTTACAACGACGCCCCATTAACAAAAGAGAGAAACAACATTCCACTAAACGATAACCACGGTCCTGTCATACAACACGAAAGTGAGATGCAGATTTCATACCCAGCGACGTAGATCGGAGTGAGATGTCAAAACAACATGCGGGACTCGGCTCGACCACGGTCAGGTTTCAGGCAAAGAGTTTAGGTTAGACTGAAACTCGGCAACATCGTTCCAGGACCGTTGTGGAATAGGAGTCACGTGTTTCAGGCTCCAATGAAAGCGTAGATCGAGCGGACGCCATAACGCGTACCCCGGACGCGGCGGCCAATCACGTTATTCCAGACCCGTATACATGTATATGGTGTTCGTGTTTCCGTGGTCGCTGGTACATTTTCGCGGATTCTCACGGGAAATCGGTGAGTGGTGAAAACGTATCCGCGCGTTATTAGCGGATAAGCGTGGCTTGAGGGGCCGAGCGATGCGCGGGCGTCGCTCGGTCGCGAAATAAGGGCAATTTCGCATCGTCTGCTTGGAGTGCACCGCGCAGGCTCGCTCAAAATGGCCGCCTCGCTGCCGCGTTTGTTTGTGGTGGAGATGGAGGGCCGCGTAGCCGATCGATACGGCGACGGTCGCTCGGTCGCACGAAACTGGCGATGGTGTCTATGGCGGCTGTTGTGTGTGTTGCGGCGTGGCGCGACCTGCACGCGATTTACGCCCGGTGAGATCGAACGTGGTCGCGTGGCTAACAGGCTCACGGTGGCAGTGGTGTGCGGGTGAGAGCGGGTGCTTTGACACAGGCGGCGAGATGACCGCGAGACGCGAGCGTAGGGCGTGGTGAGAGAGCGTAGCCGACGGCGGCCTCCCCGCAGACGCGAAACCCTGAGCCCTCCCTGATCGGGTGACCACTCAGAGGGACACACAAGGTGCGTACGCAACTCGCGATTTTCACTGGGCCTGCTCCATGGCTCAACCGCGGTACCACCGCGGTCATGAGCTTTGCGGCCCCGGAGGTGGTCTCTTTTGCGTGTGCCCTGCGCATTTTCATTGCCCCCCCAAACGTATCGCCGAATAAACGCGCCGTGTGCGCGGCTTGGCGCATCCTCTCTCTCTTCTGTCTCGTCACGCTTTGCCAAGCCACGCTCTTTACCGGCCTCCTTAAGCTAGAGTCGTTTGTCAACTCTTTCTACTGTTAGATTCTCTTCCTTCGTGTGCTCCCGTCGTCATGCGGAGTTCAACATCCATCCGCCTTTGCGGTTCACTGGTGTCGCTATTCCATCCATCGTCGATCACGATCACGCCGCCTACGACGTCGTTCACGATCACGTTTTGTCTTCTTCTTATGCTGCAAGTTCTCAAGAGTCTCCTTTCCCTCCCGCGTGCGTCTCACGCACGAGGACGCGTGCGAGCCTCCCGACCGCGACGCGCGGGAAACGTATCCAAGTGGACTACGGTGTTGTTGCTTTTTCAAAAAGTCTACTATCGTTCTGGACGATTATCTTCCACGCTTTTCCCGTGACGTTCAGTATGTTTCCAATGTTTTTCTTCTCTATATCGATACATTACCGTGAACTTCTGTTTTGATAGTCATTATTCAAATATTGTTTTTCGCATTTCAACTGCGGGCAACCCCCGTGTAACGCAGTATTCTTGCAGTCAAATTTCGCTTTAATACGGATAGAGAAGCGGGTATATCCCCAAGTTATAACACAACATTCCCTTTAATGATGCAGGAAATTTGAGAAAGATCATGCTTAATGTATCACTTCATATTAGGAAATTTTTAAATGGTGTTTTAAAAAAAGTAAATGAGTAATGATAAACAGATTTCAAAGATGTAATTTAATTATACTAAATGTTTGTTATATTACATTAACATTAAATCATGATTACACTGTTTTAGTTTCATAATTCTTATGATTGTAAAATCTTTTTGTATAAAACAGATTTGGATAACTATATTTTTTAAGAACATAACTACCATATTATTTGGGAATTATTTGCATTATGTTGTTTAATAGGGTTTAGATGAAGTATACTTGTATGCTTCGGGCTTTGTTTACTATATTCCATGCATACTTGTATCTGTTATCACATGCATTAATATTCATATATATAAGTTTTGAACAGTTTGTATTATTTCTTGCAATTTAAACTGCACTAAAGATTTAACTGTGAGTTATTTAATTTCATAAAGATAAAAGGATATTATAATATGGTAAATGGGATAGATGTAAAAAGTTGCAAGTATGATCCAGGAATTTAAGTATGAGGAATAAACATGTTATTTTATTAGCATATCTATTTAGATAATCTGTAATGTTATTGAAATTCAAAAAACTTTTATGTTATAATAAGAAAAATATGGTTCAAATTTATTAGAAATACATTTTTTTAGTAGCATATTGATTGATGTATTTATAAACAGAAGGCCTTTCTATTTTATGTATTATTTTTAATAAAAACTTGGATATTTTTATATAGGTGAAGGTGATGTAGAAAAGAAATTTAAATTATCAAGGGCCAACACCTGCTTTGACGGGGCACTGCAATATATCTGTGGACAACACGGGCGACGAAGATAGGAAAATGGTATCTCTGCCCACTGCAGAGTCTGGCACAATGGACAGAATCTCAGATGATGAAGATGATGAGCCAAGTAGTGGATCCGAAACGTACGAGGAGGGTGACCTTCTCTCAGCTGCCATGGATGATGACGTGACGGCCCAGCTAGCAGCTGCAGGTTGGCAAATCAAACACGCTAATGGTGATTTCCATTTTTTTGCTTTTCACCTTTTGAGTTATTTATGTTCTAATTATTTTCATTTGCAAGTAAAGAGTAACATGCAGGGTGCACCAATGATGTTAAATGATTGATTCATTTAAACTAAGAAGGGAGAGTTTACTGGAAACATGTATAAATTATGTTTGTGAAATCATTAATACAATCAAGTATTTGATTAGTAATTTGTTTTTTGTTAATCTCCATAATGTAGTTGCAATTTCTTTCACATAAAGTTCTGTAGAATGTACTTATTGGAGCTATTAGAGAGATAAAAGAATCTTTAAAATTGATGTCATTAAATTGTGGTTAATGGAAAGATGCAAAAGTGGATACTGCCTGCCAATGATACATCAAATCTGGTAATTATTGATGATTTGAAAAAATGATAGAAGACAAGAATCTTTCTTCGAGCTCTAGTATTATTACTGTTTTTTATTTTTTATATATAATTTTGCATTTATAACTATGCAGACATCTGTTACTTTTTTTTTATATTTATGTCATTGACAGTGCAGCATGAATTTATTTTTCCTTATCATACTAATTTTGTTCTTTAAAGCAATAATTTAAAATAGAAGCATACTGCGAAAACACTGTTGTTGAATGCATTTTACATTGTTTGTGTGCTGTATTATTTGCTTACATTTTTATTATTTTATTCATATGGAAACACTGTTCTTATATTTGCAATATTTGTATGTGATTATCATTTGCATTATTTTATTTAATATTGTGTTCTTTTGTGTGTTCTTTAACATTCATTATAGCCTCTTGATGTTAGATTTAGTTCACCATCCAAAATTCTGTTCCTTTATTTATCTAGCAAATGTATGTTTGCTGTGTCTTATGATCTGTAAATATTATGGAAAAATATAATAATTTATAAACATTCATTTTCACTTTATTCAAAACAGTATCTAAGATTATACTTTTTAGCAGTTTCATAAATGAAAATTGGAGCTTTCAGTTGAGTACAATGTACCATATATAAAAGCTATTCCAGACTAAGATGCTTTTTATACATGTAGGCTGTCTATAAACAAGGTCGTTTGCCCAGATCATATTAATGTCTTCTGTTTTTCATTACAACAAAATACAAAATACACACCAAAAATTTATTTGCAGTCACAACATACACAGATGGTTCGCGGACACGTGTTCACAATCAATTGTCTCTTAGTCTGGATTAGCCTTTACATATATGTATATTCTTGGATACTAAGCACGTTTCATATCATTACTGCTTTCGCATCTCTTATGTGTTTGAATGTACTACAACTGTATTTTCATGTCAGCAGAATGTACGCGAATATTCGCTTTAATAGAAAAAGCAGGTCTTGATTGTTAAATAACTTTTTTCTGTATTAATTGTTACATTCTACTGACATCTAATTTGGTGTGGGATTCTAAAATTGGAAAACATATAATTAATAATTCGCACATTTAGGCCCTGTTGGCGTAGCCGCAGCCGCCGCCATTGTGTCTGCGAAAAAGAGGAAACGACCTCATAGTTTTGAAACAAATCCCAGCATTAGGAAGAGACAACAAAACAGACTTCTGAGAAAACTCAGAGTAAGTAGGCATTCTCATCATTTGAGCTGATTTACCTATTCATAATCTGTTACCTTTTACTGTATATCATATATATTTTACGCGTGTGTCTTACAGCAAACAATAGATGAATTTGCAACGCGAGTTGGACAACAGGCAGTAGTATTAGTAGCTACACCCGGAAAGCCAAACAGTAGTTATAAAGTATTTGGGGCGAAACCATTAGAAGATGTAGTAAAAAATTTAAAGAATGTTATAATGGAAGAACTTGAAAGTGCACTCGCACAACAAGCTCCACCTCCAGTACAAGATGACCCATCCTTATACGAATTACCACCTCTTATAATAGATGGCATACCTACACCTGTCGAGAAAATGACACAAGCTCAGCTCAGGGCGTTTATACCCTTGATGCTGAAGTATTCCACGGGTAGGGGTAAACCTGGCTGGGGTAGGGATAGTACACGACCACCTTGGTGGCCAAAAGAACTACCATGGGCAAACGTTCGTATGGATGCAAGATCTGAGGATGAGAAACAAAAGGTTTGCGAATGGTTTCATTTTTTATTTATTTTACAAGAAAACATCTGATTTGTATCTATAAATTTCCTTTTCATAACAATTTTCAGATTTCTTGGACTCACGCGTTAAGGCAAATTGTAATAAACTGTTATAAATTTCACGGAAGAGAAGATCTTCTACCTGCATTCAGTGAAGAGGATGATAAGTCAAATGTATTAATACAACAGTCGGCTCCTCATTCCTCGTCGCACCCATCACATTCGTCCACTCAGGGGCAAGGTGGACAGTCACAACAACAACAGACGGTGGGAGTTGTTCGCCTGAGCAGCACGGATTCATCTAAGGGAAACTCTTCGCCAGCACAAATCATTGCCGCGTCTCCCACAGCTCTTGCCACTGCCACTCAGGTGGGAGTGGGTAGAGTGTACCAAAATGAGAAAAAAGAGAAATTGAGTGAAGCGATATGTTCGATAGCTGGCAAATTAAAAAGAAATTTATTTGTCTTTAGGCTATTTTAAAAAAATTGATTCTTGACACGGAGCTATATGATCATAACGCTTCTTCAAATTTCTATGTAGAAAAGAATTAGAAATCGGAACGTATTCCTTTGAACATAACTCGTATTTATATTCGTGTGTTTGGTTTCCCTTATTTGAGTTTGATCTGTCTTTTATTTTTACTATCCTTACACATACAAAATCATATACTTTTCATATAGTTACTTCTCGTATCGTTTTTATACTTTCTTTTGTCATTCATGTTTAGCAAATCTTATTTATTAAATATTTAATTGAAACAACCCATGGTTCTTATCATTAATAATATCTTTCTCGCTTTAGATGACGACTCAGTATCCAACGGCAGTTTTGCAAACGATAACGAACCCCGATGGTACTGTTTCTATCATCCAAGTGGATCCTAATAACCCAATAATCACGTTACCGGATGGTACAACAGCTCAAGTGCAAGGGGTTGCTACCGTAAGTTGTCAGATTGTGATCGGATACAGATGTTTACATTTCTATCCGTGACCATAAGTGTTTAATAGTCTTCAATGAAACTTCTCATAAGCAAAAATTGTAAAATTATATATTTCCCGTGTGTAGATTCATACGAGTCAAGGGGAAGTTCAAGCTCTCGCCGAAGTAGCAGGTAGCGCGGAGGGTACTAGCGTCGCTGTCGACCTGAACAGTGTTACAGAAGCGACATTAGGCCAAGACGGTCAGATCATTCTCACAGGAGAAGACGGACACGGTAAAACAGTTTTCTATAGGCTCTGCACCGTCGCCGGCCAGGAGCTACTTGAGCAGTGAATTCGTTTTTACTGGCCCAGGATCCTTTGTTGTTTTGCATGCTGTCTGCTACGCTCCATTCAAGAAACTACCTACTGTTCTACTACTTTGTACAACGAGAGTAGAATGTCGAATTAGTTTAATCTTTTTTTTGGTACTGTACATAATACGACAACTTCACACTCGAGGAGCTATGCACAGCTTTATTTTAATTTCATTTTTTAAGAATCCATGGTACCCCCCCACAATTTAGCATTATCTTCAGAGGAGCGTTCAAAATGTACGGAAAATATCGATTCTTTTTTTACAAGACACGTTCAAACGTTGCATAAAATGCAAAGGAAGTCGTTTATGAAACGTAGGTCGCTCTCAACGCCGTGTCATTTTTATACGGATCGTATACGTCTCAGACTATTCTCTTTCCGAGATGCTCCTTTTCTTTTTATATCCCCAATAGAAGATGCTCGATTATGAAAGAGTCAAAGGTAAATGAAATGTGTATATGTATGTAGATAATTTTTTAAAGATCGAATTGATTTCATTCAGATACGATATACTTGTACATCGAAATGTTACATGTACAGTTCGTACTCCTCTGGAAGTAAATGATCAGAGAAATGTCGTGACATTCTGAAATCTGTAAATCGTGAACGTAACGGTCAAATCTATTTGTTCACATGGATTCTTAAGATTTTTTTATTTAACGAAAAATAAAAAGAAAATATCACTTCACGAACACGACAGAACCTGTCCCCGTTCTACAAACACCATTTACCGTTACTACTGAAGATTGGTGATTTACTTTAATTTAAAAAAAAAAGAACAAAGAGAAATAAA